AACAGCTATAGTTTCAAACAATTATTTAACTCAGATTGGGGCATAATTCAGTGGTGTAAAGTATAGGAGTGAGGTAGTCTCAACCTTACTGACAATCGCAGTGTAAGAATTTGATTCTTGAGATATGAAATTGGACTTTTTGTAGGCACCAATATACGAACAAACTCTTATTCTCTGACTTACCAAGGTACATCCCACGATTTACCTCCCTCACAACGTTTCAGTAGCGAAGCGATGGAGCCCTCAAGGGTTCAACCTTTAATTATTTAACTTAGATTTCAATAGCCAACTGCACCAATTATTTAATATATTGTGATACATATGATTCTGTTCTATCCGTCTCTGTGCTGAACCATTTTCTTCCTCGCCAGCACAACCATACAACAAATAGGTAAGTGTCTAGTCATATATTTACAGAATTCCCTGTGTAAATGATTTTTATTTATTTTTTAATCTGCCGTATTTTTCGGTGCCAATTAGTAGTTCTGATTCATGGCCATTCGTTGAGTTTTGATCTGTATGAGAATCTTAAAAGTTGTACTTAGCTTCAGATGAAATGAATCAAGGGTTCATTTCCACACTGCCAAATTAATTCTTGGCTATGTTATTATCAAGAAAATTTATAATCTGTTTGGTAAAATGGATTGTACAATTGTCGAATTGGACTATTCTATGGAGAAAGAAGAAACTAAAATTGCAATCGTATCTATCAGGAAGTAGTAAGAAAGAAAAGAAAAGAAAGTCTCGTTGATTGTAATGTCCTCGATCATGTCTAATATTGAATGCTTGAGGTATTAAGAGTTCTTGCTGTTCTTCCTATATCTCCACTTGCTATTATTATTATTTATTTTTTTTAATTTTTTTTTTGCCGGGAGAAATTATAGCTGTTGCAGTTGTCACACCGAGTAATAGGTCGAGAATTTTGAGGGGAAAAATGTATCTACAATTGAATTGTTTTCTTGTGCAATCTTACGAGGTTTCCTCTTTTGAGGGACGAAATCTGGGCTGAGAAAAACCGGAAAAAAGTAATGTTCGGATGATGATAAGTTCAATTTGCAGTTTCTTGGTTCTGATAAAATTGCATTTGTAGAAGTCCAGTTATTGATGTTTTAAAGGTCTTTCTTGTATCTGATAATATACTCCATGGATAATATAGGTCGTTGACTCATTAAATTGGCTGGGATTTTCTTCTTTAATTTACTTTTAGTAACCTCAACTTTTTGTTAATTTAGTATATTATGAACTAGATTGTGCTAAGGTAGAATCATTTCCATGATGTTCTCCTTTTCTTCTTCTTTTTAGCTATGATCAAATTTTGGTGAAATCATAGGTGAACGCTGTTCACTTGATGGTTGAAGTTTGACTGGGAGGAATTATATATAATTTGACGTATCGATTGACATCAAGAGACTGGTTGGATGACTTGTTTTACTGTCTGTTTCAAACAAAAAGCTTCTTCCCCAGCAAAGCAAAACGTGGGTTTTAAAAAAGGTAGATTTTGAGATAGTGCCAATCCTTGAAACTAAAATAATCGGTCAGAATCATCTTAACTTTGCTAGCTTCCTGGTCCTTTTCGTTGTGATTTAGATCATCAAATCACATTTTCCAAGCTATGATATTTATTAACTTTGGACGTCTTTTCAGCATGTGCCTGTAACAGAGCTTCGAATGGAAATTCAGAGAGGAATACAGAAAATTTAAGTGAGGAAAATGTAAAACTGTACAGTTACAAAGAATTACAACTTGCAACAGAAAACTTTAATCCAAGAAATAAGATCGGTGAAGGAGGCTTTGGTTCTGTCTACAAGGTAATGTGCAGCTTCTTGCTCAATCCTCATTCTTGGGAGTTTGGTTTTAAAACTGATGATTCTTGTTCAGACGCGCACTCAAATTATCTTCTAACTTTTAGGGGAGGCTAAAGGATGGCTCCTTGGCTGCTATAAAGGTTCTTTCTGTCGAGTCAAAGCAGGGTGTCCGTGAGTTCTTAACAGAGATAATAACGATATCAGGCATGGAACATGAGAACCTGGTGAAGTTGTATGGGTGCTGTGCAGAAAGGGACCATAGAATATTGGTTTATGGTTACGTAGAGAATAATAGCCTTTCTCAAACTCTCCTAGGTAATTTACGGCTCATAACATCATATTTGTACTCTCATTTTTCTTGTCTAGATTGTAATAGCTAAATATCTCTATATGCAGGTGATGGTTATAGTAACATTCAGTTTAGCTGGAGAACACGGACTAAAATTTGCATAGGGGTGGCACGAGGGCTTGCATTCCTCCACGAGGAAGTCCGACCTCATATTATTCACAGAGATATCAAACCTAGCAATATTCTCCTCGGCAAAGACCTAACTGCAAAAATCTCAGATTTTGGTCTGGCTAAGCTTTTTCCAGATAACTTGACTCATATTAGCACACGTGTAGCTGGCACAATGTAAGTGCAGAAATTCTTGTGCTTCTGTTTGGAAATCGAAATAATTTTGTTGACCCTCGATATCGAAAATAAATGTGCCTTCTATCTATATTTAGCAAAACTATGGGAGAAATGTCAATGAGGAATGAAAGATATTATCATGCTACTATTTACAATTATCAATAGAGATTTAGATGACATTCTTTAGGCTGTCACCTGCAGTGATTATATGCCATTTGAATTCAGAAATTTGGAAAATTTAGTATACTTATGGCACATGTGCATGAGGTATCCAGTACTGTAATATGTCTTTCACAATGAGAGAAATTCAGATATTACGAAGGCAATGGTTGTAGACATTTGTTATGGACTTTGGCCTCTTAATTACGGTATCTTGTATCTCGTTGTGTATAACTGCAGTTAACTGTGTATTATATAATGAATGAACTGTTTATTTTCGTTGCAGAGGTTATTTGGCCCCTGAGTATGCGATGCAAGGCCAGTTGACGAGAAAAGCAGATGTTTATGGTTTCGGTGTTCTCCTGTTGGAAATTGTCAGTGGAAGATGCAACACAAATAAGAGATTGCCTGTTGAAGAACGTTATCTTCTTGAAACGGTATGGAGGTCTGGATTTGCAGTTTTCTTCCATCAATTATTAGAAGGGAATTTGTTTACTTTGGATATTACCGGACAAAAGCTTGGTCAGGAAGAAAAGACAAAAATCTTAGTATTGGCTTACAACTTAGCCATCGTTTGGCCCCCATTAAAATTCATCAATTTAATTTAAATTTTTCTCTCTTCCATTTTCAACCACACAATCTTCAATAAAATAATATTACACGTAAATCGAAAATTTTTCATTCTTTTACAACCATTCATTTTTCAAAAAAACACTATTCCCCCCATTGTAAATCCAAATAGTGGGGGCCAAACGGGGTATTAGTCAGATAGATAAGGAATTTATGCAAGTCATTAGGGGTTAAGCTTAATCCTAACCTGGAGAGCAATAATGAATGAAATGAAAAACGCACAAACACGCGCGCAGACTTAGGTTTATTGTGGTTCACTCTTAATGTGAGAGGTACATTCACTCGGTGTTGCATATTTTTCACTATATTGACGAATGAGATAACAAGGTTTTCCTCACACCTCTGTCTTTTCTCAGACAAAGCACCCCCCCTTCGGTTCATTTAACATAGGTAACTAGAGCAACTTTTCAGAGTCCAACGCAATCAAATTATGAAAATGAACAGGGTGGCTCGTGTTATGGATAGTGGGTACTTTAGATTTTACCAGAATATAATTTTATCTTCCTTGATAAACTCTTTTGGTAGCTAAATAGTTACTGCTTCTCTTCCTCTATCTGTAAGCCTTCTTAAACCATGAAACTCTTTTCCAGGCATGGAAATTATACGAGAAAAGGGAGCTGGTTCAATTGGTTGACATGACACTTGAAGGCGACTTCGATATGGATGAGGCTTGCAGATATTTAAAGATTGGCCTTTTATGCACCCAAGACATGCCAAAAAGCCGTCCAGCCATGTCTACCGTGTTGAAATTGCTTACAGGCGAGATGGACTTGCGCAAGAAGAAGATATCTAGACCAGCCATACTCTCTGAATTAACTGCTGTAAATAGTAATACAACATCACCTGCCTGGGGAAATCTAGATAAGTCATCTTCACAAAACAGAAGCACGACGTATGCCACTATGACTTTCACTTCAATATATGATCGAAGTAATTGAGTTGAGAAGGTTATGATGGTGGCCAAAAAAAGCTTCTTGTTTTCTCGTTCATTTACCTATCTGAGTTGTGTACTGTCATTTTAAGGCCACTGAAATGAGATTGATTGTACAAGTTCTTGCAAAAATTCTAAAAATAAAATAATTTTTTTGGAGTCAAACCAAACCAATTATGTTGTTGGTAGAGATTTGACAGGAGTGTTCACCTCTTTATGATTTTCTTGTACTAAAAGTATATATTTTAATGGACAAGAATAGCGTCAATTTTGATTTGTATGTCATTTTCTCTTAATTTTGTTGTTGTGATAGGATAACATGTTAAATAAACGAGTGAAAATAAATAACAATATCATACTTAGTTTGATAGAAGTGGGACGGAGGAATATGCTTACCAATATCAGCAATATGTTAAAGCATTCAAAAGAATATTTTTTTTCATATATCTGTGTGTTCCGATCATTAAAAAAATATTATCTTCCCAGTGTACTACATAAGTTAGAATGAGCTATCTTTTTTTGCTGGGAATTTTATGCTTAATGTCTGGTTCTGTAACATCTGAACCATAAAATAAGAAAACAGAGCACTCTGTAACCTAAGACAAAACCCAACATCACAGCCATGTTAGTCCACTTCTGTGACTCTTCAAGACCCTGCTGTTTCAAGTACCCATTTCCATATAGGATGCAGTGATCTCTTAAAATTTCCAAGCACTTGTTGCTGCCTTTTCCTCCATATTCGTTTATCACCAAACTCTCGAATGGATACTTGAACAGGCTCAAGTAATGCATGAAGATCCAGTAACTGGGTATATTCTCTTGAGCAATAAAATACCCAGAAAAGAGAAAGAAAGCCCCCATTAGCCCTGCAATTATTGATGTACCCATTATAAAGTTTGGCACAAGTGCACTGCAGCATGCTGTGAAAGAATTTGACATTAGGACAACCACCCAAACCACCAGGAAGAAATAGAGAAAACCATCCAAGTCGCGCCTCAGGCCGATTAGCCAGTAAACTGGGGTACTGAAGAGTAGACCAACCATTAAGAGAAAAGGAAGGAACACAATGGTGTTTGCTAAAACATAAGATAATACCCTATATGCTCCTCTTGATGTCTCTCTCATCAATATTCTTCTCTCTTGCAGGAAAATTGGCAGACCCTCCGTCATGGAGGATAGCAAGAAACTAAGACTGAAAGCGAAGAATCCAAGTCGGGATTGTAAAGCAACCTTCCCTATATTATTGGTGACATTCATGTATATTGTACCGAGTATGAATCCCACTACCACAGCTTGAATTATTCGTGTTGCAAAGAGTTCTTTGGTTCTGAAAATGTTCTTACAAAATCTTTCCCCAAGAATTAGAACCTCCCGAAATTGAGAATTCGAGTAAGATGGAAATTTTTTCTTGTCACAGGAAGTGGAAATTCTTACACTGTGACAACTATTATCTGCACTTCCTTCACTTTCAACATCAGTTTCGAAAACGGGCTTGCTGTTGGGAGCTTCTGAAGTTTGTATGGTTATGCTGCTAGAGATATCGATGGCAAATTCGAGCACGTTGATATGTGGAGGTATGTGATAACCAGCTTTTTTGAGCCGTTCTTCGAGTAAATCTAGTGAACCATTGTGCAGGACATATCCATTTGAGAGCAAAACAAGTCTGTCAAACAACTCGAGGATTCGAAATCCAGGTTGATGGATGGTCAAGATAATTGTTTTACCTTGATTGACAGCCATCATTTTCAGCAGAGAAATAACATGAAGGGCCGATGCTGAATCCAAGCCTGAAGTTGGTTCATCAATGAGCAAAACCGCAGGGTCGTGGACCAATTCCATCCCAATTGACACCCTCCTCCTTTCGCCACCCGAAATGCCATGGCTTGAACCTTCACCTATTCTTGAACCAGATATATGTTCAAGTCCAAGCTCCTTCATCAGCACCTTAACTCTATGCTTAGCCACTCTTTTCCCACCGGAAACCCTCAAAAGCGCACCATAAGTCAGGACTTCTTCAACGGTGAGAAGTGGGAATAAGACGTCTTCTTGAGTAACATAACCCGATAGTCTACGATAACTATCGATGTGCATAGGATGATCATTAACCAGCACCTCACCAGAAACCTTCCTTGGTGAAATCTTCCCAGCTAGAATCTCCAGCAGTGTAGTTTTCCCTGCTCCACTAGGACCAGCAATTGCTGTGATTTCCCCCGGCCTCGCCTCGAAATCCACATTCTTGACGATGAACCTTGGNTTCCCTGCTCCACTAGGACCAGCAATTGCTGTGATTTCCCCCGGCCTCGCCTCGAAATCCACATTCTTGACGATGAACCTTGGCGACACCTTAACACTCTTCCAAAACAAAAAATGTCTATATTCATCATACAGACTGTGGAAAGTATAGGAGAGCTTTTTAGTCTGTATAACATATGTTCCCGTGTCGCCATAAACCGGCCCCTCGATTGGAAATTCCATGGTGTTACACTGAAGAGATAGAGAGAAAATGGAGAATTAAGAACAAGAAAAAGAACGAAATTAAAGGGGATGAGCTAACATACCAACCTCTTGATAGATTTTGGTATAATTCAAGTTTGTTGAGAATCCAATAGATAATTTGCATGTAGAGCTTTGTAGGTTTAACATTGGCTTGACTTAAAGAGTTGAGTTGGTTCGGTTTCTTGTGGGATGAAAAAAAAGGGCTTCTTCGAGAAATTAAAATTTTGTAGTGGGTGCAGTTTTTTGCAGGTGAACTGTATATTGACTATGGAGGGTTGGTGTTAGTTGTTATAGGATCATCTCTCCTTCTCTAGTCTGCCACCTCTCTACAGTTCTATTACATGCTCTTAGACTCTGATTCTTTATAGAGTTATATATATATTTTTTCTTTGCTTAACTCACTTATTGAACAAATTAAGTAGGTAACTTTTAAGATTAGTATTAATGCAGAGGCTGTTTCAAGATTTATGGGCTTTTAATCTGTGTTAAGCAAATTGAATAACTAACATTTACTTCTTTTAACTGTTGCCTTTTACCACGTACCATGTTAAATGGGACAAGACCTAAATGGCTATATTTGAAGAGCACGTTTGGCAAAGATCTTATTAAATTATAATTTGTGGGTTTTTATGAAATGTGTGTAATAAGTAGGTAAAATGTGTAAATTCTATGGAATGTGTGGATAAAAGTAGAATTCGACTCATAAGTAATTATAAGCTTTGCCGACTATGCGTGAAATTTTGCAAGGAAATAATTGAAAACATGACGTTGAGGAGAGTTATATATTTGTACTTGTCAACCTCTTGATTCAAGAAATCGGACTTGTGCCTTTAAGATAACCATAATTTAAGACTTATATGAGGAGACGGGGTAAAATTGAAAATAATCGACTTTTAACAATATTTATCAAACAAGCACTCAATAAGAAAAATTACCAACGAAGTCATAACTTACACATGCTATGGTATTTGAATCTTCAATTTTTATTTCTTAAGAAATTGATTCTACAATATCTTTCAAATTTATGTGCCCATTATTTGACTTGAAAATATATATTTTGTGAGAAAACAATTATATTTTTATTTTTAGTTAATATGGAAACAAAACATATAAGATAAATAAATGAAAACAATAATATATGAAAACAATATTTCTTTTTCTCCCCCTCTCCATAACCAACTTTTCTCTATAGGTAGTTGTCTACCACAGAGGGGAGTACGTGAGAAACCATGCGAAAGGTCAGAGATTGGAAGGTAGCAAGGAGACGCAAAAATATGATAGAATGAATGGATTATTAGCACAAAATGTCCTTACATTTTAATGTTATTGTGAAAAACGTCTTTACCTTTCATTTTTTGACACTTCTACCTTTACCTTCACATTTTTATTGCGAAAATTATCATTTTCATCAAATTTCTCGTATAAAATGACAAATATACCCCATATTTGAATAAAATAATAAAAAAAGTTACAGAATAAATTACAATTATACTCTCAAACTTTTTAAAAA